AAAGGTCGAGCGTTAAGAACGAGATCCGCCGTTATCCCGAGGATGATTATCCTCGTCATCTGGGAGCCGCCGCCGCGTGGATACGCGGAACGAGGATTCTGGTGAAAATGGTGTCGGCGCGGTGCTCGCGGTAACCGATAGAACAGATAATCCGGAAAGTTCGAAAATTGAATGTAATTAAAACTAATATGCTCGGGAGTAAGAACAACCGCCGTAAAGATAGAGGGGCGCGTTAAAAGTGCGATAAAGGATGAGGAAAGATTACAACCGAGAGTCGGCCGACTCTGGGAACGGAGATATCATGAAACGGTTAGGAACGAAGGGGGACGATGCGAGCAGGGTTCGGCAAACAGATAAATCCTTGACGACCTTATCCGGAGCAGACGAATAGGACCCATGGATTTGGAAATCCGCGAAACTGTGCTTTTAAAATGGCCGGTAAAATCGGTGTTATTAGGGAAGGTAACACCCGAGGAACCCCGAAAGTCGTTCGGGCCGGATAATAGTAATTCTTCCGAGCCCGCGGAGGTTATAATCTTTAAATCCGCACGATTAGCCTGTAATGATATATTCTTCCATGGGAAAAGAACGTGGTTGATGAGAGAAATTTATCAGTGATTCGAACGTTCATCGATAAAGAAAGTTCTTCGTGAGATTCTGCGTATTTAGAAAAATGCTTTTTGGAAAGATGTTTTTGAAAATTAACTATTTTTCTTTTTCGCTGCGTGAAAAATAACATTTTTTTCACAGTTTAACAACCGATTTTCTTTACGATCGAATTCAACGGAATTGCGTTTGTCTTTTACTGCGTTTACATCTGATCGAGAGTGTTTTATAATTAATTAATTAATTACAACGTAATTGTTTGTATATCAAACGCCGTCGCTAATGTTTCACGGGAGTTTTATTTAAAAATGTCTTCGTTGCAATGTTTGTGCACGGTGGCTGATTGAATTTATCGAAGTCGCGTGTATCGATTGACGAGTTTTCACTAAACTAATTATTAGTTTTTGAATCTAGAAGCTGGTTGTACAGTAATTTCTCCCTAATTCGCGCTCAGATTGCGCACAAAAATAGAGAATTTGGGAAGAGGAGATACGATTATTCGAGCCTTGCGTCTCGTCTTTATAGTTGTTGATAATCGATAACTGTGAAAACGAGTCGCGAGGCTCGATATGTCCACTTTTAAAGCGAAGACATTAGATAAATTTCGAAATGTTATATTACTTTCAGTTTATTAAAATTATTATAAGGAGAAAGACATTGTTATTTAACGCTTGTTTCGCGCAATTGAAGCATGAAATTTCTATCTTCGTATAAAGATCCGTAGTCGAATAATCGCGAGTCCCATATTCCTCCTTCAACATGTAAAAATATTTCTCTGTAATATTATTCTGTGATATTACCAATAATCTGTTAGAAGAACTCTGCGGTAAGAAATTATTCGACGTGGAGGTTTTAGCAATAATAACATTATAGTACGTAATTCTATACGTTAGAGCAACTGCGACCACAGAATACGATTTACGGAACTAAAGTTAGCAGTCCAGGCAACGGTAATTACGTTACAGGACGCTTCCCGACCCTTTCCATATTTTCATTGGAACATTTTCTCGAGAGTACCAGAAAAAGTAGGTTAAAAANGGCAACGGTAATTACGTTACAGGACGCTTCCCGACCCTTTCCATATTTTCATTGGAACATTTTCTCGAGAGTACCAGAAAAAGTAGGTTAAAAATAGATTTCGTGCAATGTAACGCTTAATAACCCTCAGCGTAATCACTACAGTATAAATTCTTCCCAATTGACCGCTCAGTTTGTACATAAAAATGGACAATTTGGGAAGAGGAGATACGATTATTCGAGCCTTGCGGCTCGTTTTTATAATTGTGGACAATTTATAACTATAAAAATAAACCGCAAGGCTCGAATAATCGTATCTCCTCTTCCCAAATTATCCATTTTAGTGGACAATCTGAGCGTCAGTAAGGGAGACATTACTGTAATTACTCGAACATTTTTTCCATAACTGATTCGGCCTGATAACGTTCTTCGGGTCCTTATCTGACTGGTAATTTTGTACACAAAAATGGATAATTTGGGAAGAGGAGATACGATTATTCGAGCCTTGCGTCTCGTTTTTATTAGTTATTGATAATCGATAACTGTGAAAACGAGTCGCGAGGCTCGAATATGTCCACTTTTAAAGCGAAGACATTAGATAAATTTCGAAATGTTATATTACTTTCAGTTTATTAAAATTATTATAAGGAGAAAGACATTGTTATTTAACGCTTGTTTCGCGCAATTGAAGCATGAAATTTCTATCTTCGTATAAAGATCCGTAGTCGAATAATCGCGAGTCCCATATTCCTCCTTCAACATGTAAAAATATTTCTCTGTAATATTATTCTGTGATATTACCAATAATCTGTTAGAAGAACTCTGCGGTAAGAAATTATTCGACGTGGAGGTTTTAGCAATAATAACATTATAGTACGTAATTCTATACGTTAGAGCAACTGCGACCACAGAATACGATTTACGGAACTAAAGTTAGCAGTCCAGGCAACGGTAATTACGTTACAGGACGCTTCCCGACCCTTTCCATATTTTCATTGGAACATTTTCTCGAGAGTACCAGAAAAAGTAGGTTAAAAATAGATTTCGTGCAATGTAACGCTTAATAACCCTCAGCGTAATCACTACAGTATAAATTCTTCCCAATTGACCGCTCAGTTTGTACATAAAAATGGACAATTTGGGAAGAGGAGATACGATTATTCGAGCCTTGCGGCTCGTTTTTATAATTGTGGACAATTTATAACTATAAAAATAAACCGCAAGGCTCGAATAATCGTATCACCTCTTCCCAAATTGTCCATTTTTGCGCACGATCTGAGCGTCAGTAAGGGAGACATTACTATATTCGTATTTTCACTCGCCGTTTGCCCTGGTAAAATTCTTGTACAACCCTGATTACGAACTGCCAACAACCATAAAAACGAGCCGCAAGGCTCGAATAATCGTGTCTCCTTTTCCCAAATTGTCCATTTTTGTTTCCAATCTGAGCGTCAATTGGGGAGAACTTATTGTATTACACAGAAACTAGAATCATTAGAAATACCATATTGGCCTAAATGATGGACGAAAAGCTTCCTGAATATGTCAGTATCGATATTTACAACATTTTATGCTTCTCAATAGCGTTAAATTGTCCACTTTTGTCCACACAATCTGGGCGTCAATTAGGGAGACATTACTGTAGTCGTAAATGCCGGTCCAAAAGAGAAGTTTCGGAGACACTGCCGTAACTATTTCCATGAACATAGACGCCGTGTCTATTCGTTCGCTGTTGAAAGGGCGCCGTGCAGTATGTATTTGGATTTTGGAAGGCACATGATGCACAATATGGCGCCGTTATTGCAGGCCGGTGCATTCCACGGTTGCAGAGAACGGAAGACGGAAGAATCTTTCGGGCCTCCGACGGAAAGGAAGTTTTGGCGCGCGACGCAGCTCTCCCTCTCCCTCTCTCTCTCTCTCTCTCTCTCGTTCTCTCTCGTTCTCTCTCTCCCTCTCTCCTCTCTCTGTCTCTCTTTCTCCTGGACATCGCAGAGCAGCTCGGTCTTCAGTGCGATCCACGCGGCCCGACCGCGAGGATGTGTTTTCGGGAGGGTGTACGTCAATCGAGTTCCCACTAATCGTCACGATTACAAACACAATCGACATCATCCCGAGAGATAACTCGATCGGCGACCGATCTCCGCCGATCGATCGGTGTGACACAGTTCCGCGATTAAAACTCCAATGGTGACCGTCGAAGTTGAATCGCGCGAAATACGCGAAACGTTCGCGTTCTCGACGGACAGTTTCGTTTCTCCGACGACGCGTCTCGACGACTCGTTAATCCGGCGCAGTTTAACTCGTCTCCGTTGATTCCGTCGACGGATCCCCGAGATCGGAGCCCCGCACAGGTGTCGCAGCTCCGGATCCCCAGAAATTCCGGAACGGTAGCGGCATTCCGAACAGTTCCGTGCAGCTCCGATTACGAAAACGTCGTCTTCCGGAACGCGAGGAATCGTCAACATCCGTGGAACCCGAGCCGCGCCGATCCTTCCGTATCGCCGGGGCTTTTCGATCCGCGAATCGCCAAGTGTACGCGTCTCGAAGCGCCCAGTTTCTCCTCGAAATTACTAACTTTCCGCCGGTTAGGCTGCAGAAATTCCGGAATCGTCGGGACCGGACCGAGCGTCGTCGAGGTTTTAGAAATCACGAAGAAGGGGAAGCTTGGAAAACGAAAACGCTCGCATTGCGATCGACATTGCGACGATTGAAAATTAGTAGACACCGTTAGAGATTCGTGAACGACGCTCAAGAATTATGGTGATGCGCTAACGTCGGCGCTTTTAAGAGCAGCGATATATCCGCGGAGTTGGCTTGATCGAACGTGAGAATAAACCGGAGAAGTTTGAAATATGATTCGTATCGTCGAGATTCAATGTGATATTCATTCTTTTCTATGGAACATTTCATTTCGTTAAAAACAACGGGGAACAAGTTCGACATATGGGAAGCCAATGTTTGAAAATCTTTCAAAAACGAGCCCTCACAAACTGATTCGCAACTTACAGAATCTCTGTCATTCTAAGCGACCTATGTTTTGCTTTTTTATTGCAAAAATCGGTGTTTAGTCGTATATTGAATTAAATTATATTAAATGAAATTAAAAGAAATTGAATGGAATGAATTGAAATTAAAAGAAATTGAATGGAGTTAATTGAAATAAAATGAAATGAAATTGAATTAATTGAAATTAAATGAAACGAAATTGAATTAATTGAAATTGAATGAAACGAAATTGAATTAATTGAAATTAAATGAAACGAAATGGAATGAATTGAAATTAAATGAAATGAAATGGAATTAATTGAAATGAATTGAAATGAAATGGAATTAATTGAAATTAAATGAAATAAAATGTAATTAATTAAAGCTAAATTAAGTTAAATGAAATGGAATGAAATGAAATGGAATGGAATGAAATGAAAAGGAATTATATTGAATTAAATTAAATACGATAAGACGCATGTTCGCCGGACTATTCGATCGAAGACGCATCGCGATCAACTAAAATCGCGTCGCGATCGCGATCCAGAATCCTCCCGAGCAACTTCGCGTCTCTCCAACAGCATCGTCGCGGCGATCGTCGCATCCGCGCGCGCCGATAGAAACCGGCAACGAGGACACCGACAAATTCATTTGTATTCCATCGATCCCCGTTGATTATCCCCTTTCGTGGATGTATTAAAATTCAAGCTCGGCCGAGGCGTCCGGATCGTCCCCCGGCTCGGCTCGAGACTTAATGAACACGCTCCGGGCCGATCCGCTTTTCGCGAGTACACATCTTTCCGCGAGGCTGCCGTCTCGACGCGACCGTTCCCCGTGATCTCGATGGATTTTCGCGCGATTTAAAATTCAAATTGGCCCGGCCGCATCGGAAAGACGGGCCCGTCGCCCGCCGTCCCGACACGCTCTCCCCCCCTCGGCGAGCTTTATGGCGCCGCGAGCCGTCCGGTTGTCGCGCGAATTCCTCGGCGATCGATTATCGGGGATCGCGCGGATCCGTAATCCCCGGCTGCCCTGAAATCACGGGGGGTCCCGTGGTGCCGTGAGTTGTGGTTCGCGGTGGTCCAAGATCGGGACCGGAAGTGGTGGGGGAGAACGATCCGAGGATCCATCTCGCGCGCGGTGAAAGTGCGAGCGCCCGCGAGGATCCCGTCGCCCCGGCTCCGCGAGCCGCCGCGGATCTGCTGGAGGATCGCCGCGAGGAAATGTGAGTGAAACGACACAGCACTTCCGGCGGCGAATCGGGGCGAAACTTCGTATCGCCCGGAGAGTGGTGCCGATATAAAAATACGAAATCTCGGCCGCGGAAGTTTCAGCGTTCGGAGGATGTAACTTTTCAGGTGTAATAAAATTTGGCCGAGCTTGCGGGCACACGCCGACTGCGGAAACTGATTTGAAACTCGGCGGAACTGCTTGCGCATGTATCAGCTGAGACCCCGCCGCGCCGGTTAATTCTACTTTTTCGACTTTCTTCGGATCTTAATGTCGAACCGGTTGATGGATTGCTTTTTACAGTTAATGCGAGTTTCATAAATGTTCGGCTCTACGCCGTTGAATCGCGTTTCCCGTTTCGCTTTCTTAGTTATGCAACGATTTCATGATAGCAACGAGTAGATTGTGTCTGTCGTAATTAGATTAATTGGACATATTTTATGCTATGTATATATTTTATGATACAAATTTCTTGGAAAAATGTCGGACTCTAATGACATATTCGATTAATTTAATGCGTTCAGTGCCGCGTCTGTCGTAATTAGACTAATTGGACATATTTTATGCTATATATATTTTATGATACAAATTCCTTGGAAAAACATCGGACTCTAATGACATATTCGATTAATTTAATGCGTTCAGTGCCGCGTGAGTCGGCGACCACGTTGTGGGCGACACTAATTTTTAATTAGGTTTTTGAAATCTATTTTTACTCCAATATATTGAACAAATTGAATGTTATTGGGATTTGTAGAATACAAAATAGCTGAACCAATATTTCCTATGGTGAATTTTCTCTTTCTAGTGCCGTACTTTGACGAGTTCGACTCGTCATGAAAATTTCTAATAATAATTTATTGAATATAGATGTTATTCCGTTCTTTAAAATTGGATAAAATTAGTTCATCCATGGACCCATCAATTTTCTTCCCATTTTAAGTTCTTATTGTAATCGAAAAATTTCTAGTCGCAGCAACTGCGAACAAAATGGAGTTAATTAAAATAAATATCGAGGAGTTAATTAAACGACTTTGTGATATTGTGCGAATTTTTCGAGTTAATATTCGGTAGTCAATGTGTTCAGAATGCTTCTACATTCTTCTCAATTTATTAGAATTATTAGCAGAAGAATTACATTTATCCTCGACTTACATTTAACACAGTTTATTTAAAACAATTTTGTTTCGCGTGAAATTTCGCAGTTTGGTAATAACATACCTCGTAATATTTATTTGACTTTAAATAGCAATGTATGCTATTGTTTTTCTTGTACAATTTAGTTCACTTTTTGTTTTGTACCACCGTGCCACATGGGTTCACGAATGACGCATGCAGCTATTGCAATATTTCGAGGTGGGTCTAAAAATATCCTACAATGCATTATCATGCATCAAACAGATGGGACATTTCTAATCCCACCGTGCACTAAAGAGTTAAAGAACGTACAAAACTATGGGCAATTATGGTGCTTTCAAAATGAAAAATTACTCTTCTCCATGAAGTTTGTATCAGTAGAATTCCATTCCATTCCGCCAAATTCTATTTAAAGTAGTAATTAAGTTCTATTTAAAGTAATTATTTCGTAACGTAACCTTATTTTATACTTCATTCGAACGGTAACTTACATATTACTTGCATATTCGTGAACAAATATGCTCGAGTTAGTGGCAAGCAATTCGAGTGAATCTTTCGGGTGTGAACAGTGAAAATTTGTATTCAGCGAGTTGCTAAAATTTTACTCGTTTGATAGAGTAAATTATTTCACTGTCACTTCAGTTTCTTCCATATCGAACGTTTTCTGCAGAACTTCTGGTTCCGATTGATATTTCTGCGTTTCGAAGCTGCCGAAATAACTTTGCGCTCGAACTTTGTCTCGAGAGCGGAAACAGTCAAGTGTTAAATTACGAAGCTACCTTCCAACGGTTGTCGAGATTCGGCTGATCCTTCTTAAGTACCTACTCTAATGCTCCCGGACAGGGGTGGATAAAAAAGCCATTGTGTCCCGCGTAAACAATTGATAGACTTCCGGAGGTGTTTGGGATCGTAGGAAAGTTAACGACGGCCGATTGCGGGAAAGTTTCGACCACCTTTAGTAACAATTTCTGTGGAAACGTGACAAGGGTACAATAGCTGCTAACTCGACGTATACGTCATTGCTTGCGGAATCATCTTAATCCTTCAGATTTGGAAGATAAAAAGGACAAATGAAATGCTTATTTGTACGATGTAGTGAAAACGAACGAAGTTTTCTGATACATATTAATATAATATGTAATATAATATTATATAAAATATATAAAACATATAATAATAATAATATAATGTATATAAAATATATAATAATAATAATAATAATAATATATTATGAAACTAAATTATCATCAAAGTGCAGTCACTTGAAGAAGTCGTACACGTTAAATATCAGGAAATGCAGAAATGGAGATAAATTCGAGCCGAAAAACATTGTATTTAATTTTTATCACAAATTTCCATTTCTTAAAATGGAAGGAGTCAGTGCATGTAAAACAATGTACATATTGTTAATGGTTTGTTAATGGTACTATACTTAAACACCTTAATCATTATCCTCGTCTGAAAATCTAATTTTTTGAAGCAACATTTATCGATGAACTGAGATTTTTTTTGCCCAAAAATTGTTTCATTTTTATATCCAATATAATATATTTGGTTATTTAGTAACATTTTTCTTTTATTTCTTCCTTTTAATCGAATGTTTTTTGCCGTTATCGAGACTTGTATCACTATGCATCGCATCAACTAGTATCGCTATAGTTTAATGTATCCATTACAATTACGGTATGCGCATCAAATGATTAAAAAATACTTCAATGATACGATTGTAGTTGCGCGTTTCATTTGTTCCGATGGCAACGCGAGACAAACGCAATATGATACGACTGGCGCGAAACTGTTCGGCAAACATTGAAAATTGGCGACTACAGAAATTTCTGTCAGAAATGTTCGGAGAACGGAATTGAAACCGGCAGATCTGAGAATACTAAGTCAGGATTCTATAGAAGTTTTTATAGAAACTCGGGGCAGTCGGCAAGAAAAAGCTGCGGTGTACATTAATATGAATACATAGTAATGGTAGAATAAAAAACGATGACTTAACTTTCCTACTTTTAATATCTTTGCCACGATTCGAAGGCAATTCAGAGGCCACTTGATACGATTCGAAGGCAATTCGGAGGATACATGACACGATTCGTAGGCAATTCGGAGGGAATTCGGAAGCCGCGTGACACGATTCGAAGGCAATTCGGAGGCCGCGTGACACGATTCGAAGGTAATTCGGAGGCCACGTGAAACGATTCGAAGGTAATTCGGAGGCCACGTGATGCGATTCAAAGGCAATTCGAAGGGAATTCGGAGAATACGTGTCACGATTCGAAGGCAATTCGGAGGCTACGTGACACGATTCGAAGGCAATTCAGAGGCCACGTGCCACAATTCGACGGTCACGGACCTAGTACCTACCACGTACCTTGTAGCTCCGCGGTTTTTCTTACCTGACTCACACCCAAACAGACCATTTTGTGTTGTCTTCCGGGAATTCGCGTCGCGCGCCGCGTCACACGCTCGACCGACTCCGTCGATCCTTAACACTTCCACGACCGCGCCAGAAACCTCGAAAATTTCATAGAATTAAAATATTTCATTCAATTAAACAAAAATTACGAAGCAAACTTATATGGCATCAATTACTTCTTCAACATTCGTACCTCTTGCAAATCTTAATAAAATGAAGCAATCATTTTTAATTTTTAGAAATTAGATGTGGAAGATTTCCCCATTCGGTCATCAGTCGACTGAATTTAAAACGTGGAGATCTCCCCATTCGGTTGGCTAAGTGTTAACATCGACGTAGCAATAGATTACATGGGCGTAGGACTAGCACGGGGAAATTCGCAGCAACCTGAAATTTGGCATTTCCGGGAGAAATTATTGTAAATCGTGAACGCGTATTCTAGAATTGCGTACACCTACACATAGAAGATCGAAGAACACGTTTACGACGGATTCCACAAAACAACTTAATTCCAGTTAAGGTGTTTTTGCACCGAATGCCTCCGGTATGAAATGATCGAGGAAATATAATTCTCTTATTACCTTGTTTCCGTATCGAAAATAAATCGCGGTTGCACCGACACCGACAACGAGAGGTTCCCTCCTCTTTTTCACTCTGTTTGTTTGTTCATCCGAGGGTCTGATTAGTTCAAATCGCATCTGAAACCCGACGCGGCGCGGTGCAGCGTCGCCGGAATATCTTTCCATTCAGCGGCCAGCAATGGCGCGAGTTCTCTATCCTAACGAGGTACAGCACCGCGAAAACGAATCAGTTGCCCCTTTATAACACAATCTGGGTCGAAAGCACAAGCAATTTGTATCGTCCCATCGTTCATCCGGTTTTTGTGCTCTTGTTATCGATGGAAAAACCATGGTCCCGCTTCTCGGGCACCTTCGCGGCAATTTTCCAGGGATCCGCACTTGAACGCTCGTGTTTCTTCATTAATATATTCCTTTTAATAACAGAGTTGTTCCTTCATGAACCAGGGTTTAGATGGAATCAATACCGCCTGCGTAACTAACCGGCTAACTACGTGTTCTCTATGAAACTGCACTCGTGATGCAGACCGATGCAGACGCTACGGGATAATTAAAAATTAGGTATTTTGAAACCCGAGATTATAATTTTACGGTATTTAATGCAAGATTTATGGAATCCGTAAAAATGACGGGTCGCTAATTTTTTAATTTACGATTATTTATATATGATTTTATTATATATATAATATATTATATATAATAAATATATATAATAAAATATTATATATATTTTAATTTATGATTATTCAACTTATATAATATATTACTTACGGCAAATATGACAATAACACTTGTTTTTTATATGGCAGGATAAATATCTTATTGTTACTTTTATAAACTAATATAAAACAGCTGTTTTTT